AAATGAATGAATGAATAAGACACAAATACAGAATATGTCCATTCACCTTTCACTAATATTGTTTAGAAATGTACTTGTATGATTATTTCAGATCCGCAGTCCCGTTTGTCTTCCACTGTCCCGTGCTGTGAGTACACCCCCCCCCCTGCACGCGACATGATTATGACCATGTCAAACGACCTCTCCTGCACGCGCGCACGACACGCGCACCGGGATTAAAACAACTGGAGTGCACGAGCAGCTCGTGTTGATGTGATGTCATCTTGTGTGACATTGAGCGTGCGTGTGTGAGCGTGCACGTGTATGTGTGTGTGCGTGCGTGTGTGTGCACGCGCTCTGGAGCTGGCGCGAGCTGGTCCGCGGCGGCAGACTGAGCGCTCGTGAGATTTCAGATTTGACCCAACATGTAGGAGGGCGCTCGAGCTCCATCCTTCTTTTTCCACTCCTCGCGCACGGAGCGGAACGGAACGCACGTAGACCCGGTGAAACCGTCACGCGGATCGGATCCGTGGAATCTGTTCTAGCATCATCCCGACAGAGCGCGAGGAGCGGTCGGTGGTCGGTGTGGCACCGGGCGTAAGGGAGGCAGAGGCGGGACGCTGTGCGCTGGACCTCCTGGCCGAATCGGAGCATCCCTCCACGGTCCCCCCGGGCAGCAGCATCCCGTCCCTCCGCGCCTCAGCTCCAGCGGGAGGCCCGGCCCCGGAGCGGCGGCAGGATGTAGCAGCGGATTAACGGAGGAGAGAGGGGCGCTCAGAGGAAGAGAGCGGGACCGGGGAGCGGGACTGCGGCGGGACGGAGGGGACATGGGGAAGGACCAGGAGCTGCTCCAGGCCGTGAAGACCGAGGACTTGCTGACAGCCCAGCGGCTCCTACAGAGACCACGGCCGGGGAAAGCCAGTCAGTATCTGTCCATCCTCCTGACACACGCACGCGCGCGCGCACACACACACACACGATGTGCAGGCGCGCACAAGCACACGCGCACAGCCAGGTCAGGACAGTGCTGCCTCAATCTGATGTGATGCCATTCAGCCTAAATGATGCACTGCATGTGTCTCTCTCTCTCTCTCTCTCTCTCTCTCGCTCTCTCTCTCTCTCCTCTATGTGACTACGTGTTGATATTTTCATCAACATCTTAAAGGTTAATAAGACAGAGATAATATGAGGACAGGGAAAGTGTGTGTGTGTGTCTCTGTGTGTGTGTGTGTGTGTGTGTGTGTGTGTGTGTCTCTCTGTGTGTGTCTCTGTGTGTGTCTCTGTGTGTGTGTGTGTGTGTGTGTGTGTGTGTGTGCTTGTTTCTGTGCTATGACGTTGAGAGTGTGATAGTGATGACGTTGCACGTGTGTGAGAGCAGTCAGCAAAATGTAATTAGAAATTAGGAATGCTTGTCACCCTATTTCCCACAATTCACTGCAGTTGTGTGCAGCCTAAGTGTGCAGGGATGCACAAAAATGTGGGTGTGCACGCCAGAGAGGACGTGTGCATTAGTGAGTGTGTATTTGTCTGTGTGTGTGTGTGTGTGTGTGTGTGTGTGTGTGTGTGTGTGTGAGAGAGAGAAAGAGAGAGAGAGAGGTGGAAGGTCCTACACTGCTCTCGGGACAGGGGGATTATTGGTGTGTGAAGATGCCAGATGTTGGTGGTAATAATGTGATGACTGTCTGTGACTGTGCACGTGCAGATATTTGCATGTGTGCACATACGTGGCCAGCACTCGAGCTCGTGCACATGCATGTGTGTTTGACATGGAGTCAGCTGGGACTTGAGGTGATAATTAGATTTCAATTACAGCCTAGAAACCGCTCTCCTCCTCTTCCATTTCACCACAAGGCCTCTTCTCCTCTCCTCTCCTCTCATCCTCTTTTCCTGTTTACTCGTTTCCTCCTCTTTGATCACCTGCCCTTTCTTTTCCTCCAGTTTTCTCCCCTCACTTCCTATCTGCCCTCCTCCCTTATATGATTCCCACTCTTCTTTTTTCCCCTCCTCCTCTCCTCTCCCCTCTATCTCCTTGCCTCGCTTGCACCTCCCCTCTCACCTCCTCTGCTCTCCTCAGCTATAAAGTCTCTCCATCCTCTCCTCTCGTGTTTGTCTCTGAACATTCCAGCAGTGCCATGGAAAAGAAAAATGCTTCTCCTCAAATGCCAGAACAGATCAGCTCTGAGCGCTCAGTCCACTGCACACTGACAAAGCAAAAAGGGGGAGGTGGGTGGAGGGCTAGGGTGAGGATGAGGGAGACGAGGGTGAGGAACGAGGGAGAGAGGAGCGCAGGACAGGAGGGGGGGACACTGAGATATGGATGTGGGAAGATAAAGAGACAGGAAGTGATGGGGAGAGGTTAAAGGGTGAGTTAGAGAGGGTGTGTGTGTGTGTGT